CCAAAAAAGGAAACCTCTTGAACTGACATGGACCCTACGAGAAATGGGTCCCTTGATGAGCATAGCCCTGCTAGTTAATGAACAACCTACTACCATTATCCCTATTAGTATTTTTCTTTGTCCAGTCCTACTTAATATGCCTGGTTTCATTCCGTCACTATCACCCAGTTTTTCCAATTGTTGTAAATTAACTGAAATGACATCCATGTTGAAAGTGAAGGGGAATCCTCGAGGGAAGAGTACGTACACTCAACCGCATGCTCGCCCGGCGCTTGCGCGCAGTTCCCAAGCCACGAGCCAGGAGCTTATGGTCTACTTCAATGGTACAGGGGCCAAGGACTTGGGCCATCCTCCACTGTCTTCCTGGGCCACAGCAGAGAGCTGGACTGGCAGAGGGGCAACCGGGACAGAATCCGGCGCCCCAAGCGGGACTAGAACCCGGTGTGCCGGCAGTGCAGGCGGAGGATTAGCCTAGTGAGCCGCCGCACCGGCCAGAGCCCCTGCACCCTTGTGGGAGACCTGGAAGAGGCTCCTGGCTCCTGGCGTGGGAAGTAAACAGCGGAATGGAAGTCTCTCTCTCTTTCTCTCTCTCTGGCTCTACCTCTCTCTCTAACTCTTTCAAATAAATAAGATAATTCTTAAAAAAAAAAAAAAAAAAAGAAGTACTTTGCTGAAATCCTGAGGTACGTGTTTGAACAGAAATGAGAATTTTTGTTTGTCTTCTAACCCTGCCTCCCTCCCAGAAGAAAGATTCCATCTTAGAACTTGGATGAAGCAGCCCTGAGGAACTTTGGACTCTCCTGGGTCCCATTGGATAGGGGTTGTCTCCCAGCAGCCAGCACAAAAGGGGGCTGCCTGGGTTTCTGAGGAGGTCCTGGCTGAACAGGAGCAAAGACTTCAGTTCTTCCTGAGGCTTGGGCAAAGCAAAGGCCTCTGTGGTTCCTGCAGCACCTGGAGACTGAGGAGGGTGAGCGGCTGGGAAGGGTGGGCCCTGCCTCCAGGGGTTGACTCTTCCTTTACATGCCATGGGAGGCTCGCATTTGATTGCCATGGTACAGGGTAGGGAGAGGACATGAGACCTGAAGCAGAGATGACAGAGGCAGATGCAGTCAGCAGGCAAGTGTCCTGGGGTCCCAACAGGGGCAGGGCTGTGAGATGGGAGACACAGTCAGGGGGTAGATCCATTAGGACTTTGTGAGCCCAAAGTCTGAAA